CGTGTGGCCTTTCCTGAGCCCCTTTTGGGTTTTTACAGGGATTTCAACATTTATCTGTTTTTAAATTGAATGTCAGCAGTTGCATAGGTTCGTTGTGTTCAGTGGATGTACATACGAGACTGCATTTTAAATCATTACGTTTCCCTCTCATTCTGAAATTCTAATTAAAAGTGTCCTGCATCTTCCTAGGGGGAGAAATTTCATTTACATATCATTGAACTGTCCCAGATTATTGGCATCCTTCAGTCTTAAGAGACTATGGTATCATGCTCTGAAAAGGGGTCCTAAAACAGCATCTAGTGTGGCTAAAAGGACCAATTTGAGACGGGCAATCGCTTCCACACTGAGGACAGATGCAGCCTGTCTCCTGTCCAGCCTCTGGATTTTGCTGGTGCTGGGACTCTCGGCCTCAGCCTGCCAAACGAGTATCTCTTCTTCGAACTGAAGGCCATGCTCCATCTTTAGCCTCCAGGCTGATCAGAGGTCATGGTTTCCCAGCTGTTGATGTCCATTCCCAAGGCCTTTAGGTCCCTCTTGCAGATATCCTTATATTGCAGCTGTGGTCTCCTTCTAGGGTGCTCCCTCTGCACTAATTCTCCATCTAGGACAGTGGCGGCTAACCTTTTTAGGCTCCTGTGCCAAAATTGCACACGCATTAGCATGCGCGTGCAGTCATGTGCCAGCACCCAGAATGCAATGTGCGTGCTCCCCCTGCACATGCACATGCAATTACCACCCCCTTACCTGCTTTGTGCCTCACACCTGATTTTTCGGCTGGTTTGAGACCTTTTTTTGGCCTCCCAGAGGCTTGGAAAAAGCCTCTGCAAGGCTTTTCAGACCGAATAATATGCCCGTTTTATCACTTCTGACATTACAGGAAGTGACGAAACAGGCCTATTCATCCTGAAAAGCCTTGCAGAGGCTTTTTGCAAGCCTTTGAGAGGCCAAAAAAGGCCTCAAACTACAGTAGCAGAAAAATCAGCTGTGAGGCGCGCATATGCACAGTGAGGTAAGTTTGCCTGCGGCTCGCACGATGGCACAAATGGCTCTACGTGCCATAGGTTCACCATCACGGATCTAGGAGGTCTTTCGGAATCCAACCATCAGCCATCCTCACGACAGGCCCAAGCCAGCATAGACGTCGCTGTTTCACTAGTATATACATGGTAGAAATTTTAGCATGTTCCAAGACTGCGCTATTTGGAACTTTGTCATGCCAGGAGATACAAGAGTGTGCTCAAGACACAGGCTCTATAGACCTGAAACTTTGCATATTGCATCAGCTTCTTATTAAGCCATACTCTCTTTGTAAGTCTGGAAAATTTCTCCTACAGGAAGAAATGTTATTTATATACCGTTGAACTGTCCCAGAAGTACATGGATAAACTGAAGGAGCACCTCTTTGTACAGAGGTATCCAATATGAGCAATTTTAAAACTTGTGAACGTCAACTCCCAGAATTTCCCAGACAGCCATGAGTCTTTCTCCTAAAGAACTCCCTACTGAACATTCTGCAAAAGCATTTTTCATACAGTAGTGAATAACAATATTAAATAAATAAACAGTTCCTCTATTTGCCAATCTGTGATACAGATTTTTGCACTGCGCAGGACAAACTACATCATAACCCCGTGACTTGGAGATTTTGTATCTTGATACAATATTGTTCCCATCTTGCTTTGTAACTACTACATGGCTGGGTTTTGGATAGTTTTAATATCCAGCTCTCGAAATTTGCATTCGGTTCTTGCTCACGGAGCCCATTAATTAATTGGGATCGATGATTCTTTATTCATTTTATTTACATGAAACGTACACGTTGCTCCTCTCACCCATCGGGTAACTTAACCCCAGATTCCTCTAGAAAAATCTAGTAAAATGGCATCATCTTGATAAGATTAAATGGCCAAGATTTTCCTTTCCCAATACCCAAGCCAAACTTAAAACTTTCTTCCACAAACTTTTGCTCCCAGTTAAAACCAGCACAACTGAATTGTCAGAAAGGAGTATTAGGGCGTTCTACAATTTTCTGACTTTCAAGGCTAATCTTCATCAGAAAGAACTTACAATGTTGGGGGGGCCACAGATTTCCTTTAAAATTAGCTACTGGTTTTACGATTTCTAAATATCTAATCGGCAAACTAACTTGCTGGGCTGTAACGCGTTAATTGTCAAATCTCAAGCAGCAGCATTTGTAGCCTACTTTTTTTATAGCTTAGGTGACTGAAAGTCTGGAAGATTGTGGCTTCTTTAGGAAAACTCACTCTTTTATATATAAAAGCGAAATACCCCTCATGCATCATCACAAAAATCTCCAGAACTGTAAAGCCTACAATCTTGAAATTGGGCAGTATGTTCCTCTTGGCTTCTAGGTGCTCACTAAGAAAGGATTTTTTGAAATAACCATCAGAGCATTAGTATTTCCTATATTATTATTATTATTTACACGCTCTGGTGCTAAGGAGTTCTACTCCCCCACCCCACCTAGAAAGAAATCATCTCCAAATGCAAAACACAAGCAGAGGAGTTTCAGTTTCAGTTTTACTTTCATAGCACCAAGCAGCTTTAGGACAGAACAGTTGAGCTAAGCCACACCCAGGCTCCTTGCTGTCTCCTTGCTCACACAGCAAATACTGCTTCAGTTTCCAAACAGCCCTCAACTCTCTCAAACACTGACAGGACGCTAGCCAGATGAATACCGATGGATGCTGGTAGGCAGAGGCAGATTTTTTTTCCCCTTATTTTCCTCTCCAAAAACTAAGCCCGACCCATTTTGTAGCAAAACACGAAAAGCCCCAAAGGTCACACTTCAAAGTCCTATTTCCTTCCCCACGCCATTTATATCCTTCCTATATCTTTCATGTCACGCCATTAATGTAATTTCCTTGCCAGCTTCTACATGCTTGAAAGGTTTGTGGGAAGACAACCTTTGCAGTGCCTTTGAATTAGCCAGGGTTTATCGAATGATCTCAGTTTACACCCCTTGCTTGCTTGGCCCTGGACAGGAAGGTAGCCAGCAGCCCCCGTCAGCTGTTTAAGCCTTGGACAGAGAAGCCCCTTTCCTTTGCAACAAGTCTGCCTAAAATGAAATTTCCTCTCCATGCAAACTTATGGATCTCAGGTGGAGGAAGGGCAGCTGCTCCAGGGAGATTTCAGGCCTTGGAAAAGGGTCGTTAAATGGGGCAGTAGAAGCCTAGCCTGTCCTTGGGATCCTCTGGAACAGCGGTCGCCAACTGGTGGGCCGTGGCCCACCGGTGGGCCCTGAGAAAATTTTGGTGGGCCGCAGAGAAATGTCACCCCCCGAGCACCTCCCAAAGCAATTAATCTAGGCTGAGCAGAAACACAAGGCTGTGCCGCCCACATGGCCCATGGGAACCTTACCCGGTAAACTTGCCTGCTAAATTGCTGTTTTTCCTTTTTCCGACCATCATCTGTTCTGCTGTGCCGGGAGATTTAGATTAGCTAGAAAGCAGGAAATGGTTGCATTTCTTGCTTTCTAGCTAGTCTTTAGATCTTAAGATTTGGAGCTTAAACGCAGAGCCTAACCTTCCTTAGGACTGAAGGTTCTATTATTCAGTGCAGACTCAGGGCAAGCAAATTTTGTGTGACAGACTCAGGTAGGCAATGGCAGATAGATAGATCACTGAATGATTCTGTGAGCAACTCAATCTGCCTGCCTGCTTTGCCTGATTTTGGGTAAAAGTTGCTCTTTTTTTAATAAAAAAATAACCATGTATGTAAATTAACCATTTACATACATGGTGTGAGTTAATTTTGTGAGTTTCTTGCTAGCAAATTTTATGAGTTTGCTTGCAAGCAAATTTTATGTGACAGACTGAGGTAGTTGATGGCAGATAGATAGATCTTTGAATGAATCTGTGATTCTGTGAGCAACTCAATCTGCCTGCCTGCTTTGCCTGATTTTGGGTAAAGGTTGCTCTTTTTTTATAAAAAAAATTCAATATTTATATAAATATTTATAATATTTACATACAAGCCATGCTCAGCCAGTCACATGACCACCAAGCCACACCCACAAATTAGGCCATGCCCACAGTACCGATTAGAGGTCCCTGGGATTTAAAATTATGAGTTTGGTGATCCCTGAGGTCCAAAAGGTTGGCGACCCCTGCTCTGGAAAACCTCAAGGAGCCAGGGATGGGGTGGAAAAGTGGGAAGCCCAGAAAGAAACCCACCCCTTGGCCTGCTGGGCTTCTGCCCTTTTCCCACCTCTCTCGCCGGGGCCATTCCTTCCTTTTTCTCCCCTTCCTCTTCTCCTTTTCTCTCCTTCCATCCTTCTTCCCTCCCACCCTGTCCTCCCTTTATTCCTTGTCCATTCTGCATTCCTTCCTTCCGTGTCCTTCCTTGTCTGTCCTCCTTCCTTCCCTTTCGCTTCTCCTAACACCTTTCTCCTTCCCTCCCTCTCTTTTTCCTTCCCCCCTCCCTTCCATTTCTCTCCTTCCTTCCTCCTTCCTCCTCTTCCTTCCTTCTTCACTCCCACCCTGTCGTCCCTTTTCCCCTTGTCCATTCTCCTTTTCTCCCTTCCATTTCACCTGCCTCCCTCTTTCCCTTCTTTCTCTTTCCTTTCTTCCTCCCTCCCTTCTTCCCCCCCATCCTGTCCTCCCTTTCCCCCTTGTTCATTCTTTCTCTCCCTCCTTTCTTCCCTCCCATTTCATGTCTCCCTCTTTTCCTTCTTTCTTTCCTTCATTCCTTCTCCTCCCTCCCCCCTTCTTCCCTATTTGTCACTCGTCTCCCTCTTTTCCTTTCTTCCTCCTCCTCTCCCTCCCTTCTTCCCTCCCATTTCACTTGTCTCCCTCTTCTTCCTTCCTCCCTCCCTTCCTTCCCTCCCTCCCACCTGTTCCTTCCATTCTCCTTTTCTTCCTTCTTCCTTGCCGATCCTCTCTCCTTTTCTCCCTCCCTTCCATCCATCCCTGCCGGGGCCAAGCGGGAAGGAGACCCGGCCGGCGGAAGGGGAGGAGGCGGCGGCGATGGGCGCCCTCCCCGTCCGCTCCGAGGCCCAGCCCGGCTCCGGCGGCGCAATTCGCCCTGGGCCGCCTCCGTGCCTAAAGGGGCCGGGCCGGGCTGGGGGAGAGCCTCCCCTCCCCCTTCTCCCCCTCCTCCTGGCCTGGGAAGGCGCCTCTTTAAAAGAGGGAAGGAGCTGCGGGGCGGCCCCACTCGGCCTCTGCCGCCCGGCTGCTGCCTCGCTTCCGCCAGCCCCTCGCCCGCCTCGCCGCCCCGCAGGTAGTCGGCCTCGAGGGTCGGGGAGGGGGGAGGGAGGGAGGGAGACAGGCTGGCTGTGCGGTGTGTGTGAAGCGGGGGAGGCGCTTCCTTCCCTCCCTTTTCTCTCTCATTCTCACTCTCTCCATCTCTCTTTCTTTCTCCTCCCTCCCTTCCTCTTTAAAACGTCCTGTTTCCTCAGTTTCTCTGGCTGAGGTGGGTCCTTTCTTTCACTCTTTCCATCTCTCCTTTCTTTTTCTTTCTTTCCTCTCTCTCTCTTTCTCTTTCTTTCCATCTTTCTCTCTTCTTTCTCCCCTCCCCCACTTTAAAACATCTCATTTCCTCCATTTCTCAGGCTGAGGCTAATCTTTCTTTCTTTCCCTCTTTCTTTCTTTCTCTTTCTTTCCATCTGTCTCTCTCTCTCTCTCCTTTCTCCCTCCCCCCCTTTAAAACATCTCATTTCCTCCATTTCTCTGGCTCAGGTGAATCTTTCTTTCTTTCTTTCTTTCTTTCTTTCTTTCTTTCTTTCTTTCT